GTTCGGTACCTTCGGTACCTGTAGGGTGGAGCTAGACTCACTGGAGAACTTTGATTGGTTGACAGAGAATTGTGTGCTACAACACAGTTTAATTGTGGTGCATCTAATAAAAGCACACGTATACATACGTATCTATGAACCAATAAAATGTGGAGCACTTTACTGTAATATCTAATTTATTTTACTTACACTGGCCGCACAAATTTCTGAACATGAAGAATCATGGGATACGATTAGCCTCAAATATCACTCTGAAAAGTGGATTTAGAGTGCATTAAGGACACTGAGCGTTGACATTTATCAGTCTTGGAACAGAATTGAATCCGTAGTTCCCTTTCAGTCTGTCACTACGAGTCACGTCGTGACCGACGAATTGGGATATCGCTTCGATAGACCAATCTACTTCGAGTGTAAACTAAACGAGCCAATGCACATTGGCATGCAATTATTGCATCCAGCTGCCGCTGATCACAGCGTGAGTATAATAAGGCAGCAGGTGCAATGCATACCAGCTTTTTGCTTCGGAGCCGAGCGACAACATCGTTCTGCTCTATGTTTATTTCGAGAACTACGAGTTCAGCACGCTCTCGGAAGCTTTCTGTGTTGGCGGGACGGCGCTTCAGCGGTGGTCGTTCCAGTGTCGAGTGGGTTGCACACTTCAGGCTGCACTACCCCCTGTCGTGTGGCAAAGCGGCCATCTCCCCTGTGCGCCTCAGCACGAAAAGAGCATTTCCTAAAAAGAGCAAATTTCTCTAAAAGAGCTACACGGGTGCGTCTTTATAAAGACGGCGGATCGTCCTTATAAGGATGCCGTTTCACCCGTGCGTTTCTGGGTGCGGTCGTTACCTGGCACCGGGTGATGGTCACGATCGCTGCCTCACGTGTCTTGTCTCATTTAGTTTACACTCGAAGTAGATTGGTCTATCGAAGCGATATCCCAATTCGTCGGTCACGACGTGACGTCTCCGTTCCCTCCTTCAGGGAACGAGGGTTACCATACGTAACCGAGATGTTCTGATTTCGAACAACTTTAATCAAATATTGATATTTTAACTTATTATTTCCTAGCAAGACAAGCAGAAATGCTGTGTAGGGTTTATTTAGTGACATTTAGTGATTATTATTTTATTTTTTTATTGTTTTTTTCTGTTCAACCGAGTCATTACATGAATAAACCAGTTTGCTAAAATTTGGTTTTCTTCTTGGTGGAAAGCATCCCAAATTTGCAGCTATGGTCAAGCACCACTGAAAAAAATTTAAGTCAACATGAAATTCTGTAGCCTATAAAGAATAAGAGGTTTGGAGAAATGATGAAAGGATCATTTTAAGCCATTTTACCTACCATCACTACTGTAGATAGATAGATAGATAGATAGATAGATAGATAGATAGATAAATAATAAAAATGTTCAATAATTTTAAAAAAGAAAATTGCACAGGGTGTTACATACCAGAAGGAAAATTTGTCATTATTTACTCATCCTCAAATTATTCCAAACCTCTATGAATTTATTTTCGCCTGTTAAATACAAAAGAAGATTCTTTGAAGAATGTTGTTCAAAGTATCTTCTTTTGTGCTTAGCAGAAGAAAGTAATTCATACAGGTTTGGAACAACATGAGGGTGAGTGAATAACGACACATTTTTTATTTTTGGGTGAACCATCCCTTCAAGAAAATAAACAGGGTCTATTTCAAATTCATGTTTACTTTTAAGTCAGTAGATTCGCTATTTTAAGCAGTTCCCCCTCAACACTGGTCACACTGCAGTGTACAAAATAAAGGGGACACGAAAGCATTTGAAGCTGTAATCTCCAGACAGCTGATCCAGTGCCAGCTCTCGGCGCACCCACCGTATCCAACAGGAAGCATGATTCTCCAGGTGCAGTCCAAGTTTCCAGGGTAGTTCCCAGGGAAACCCGGGCTCAGGACAACATTGCTCATATCATACAGGATACCGCCACACTTCGCTGAAGAAACATAAGGAGACACAAAAGAAAATGCCCAGGGTGATTGAATATTAAAAAGCCATATGATTAAAAAAATCTGCCATCTGATTATTATGGAAAAACATACCGATACAGAGCGGAGGGGGGTAATTCCAGCGACGTACGGTTCCCGGCATACACGTCATGTGAGAATGTCCCTGGAAAACAAAGAGGTCACATGATGCAGCAGCTTCTCCATCTTGTTTTTGCACTTTTCTACCCGTGTGCAGGTGCAGCATGTTGCATTTGTGTGTCAGGGCTGTGGATAATCAGCAACTCACCTGAAGCACGTACCCCGGCTCACAGCTGAATGACACAACCTCGTTCACCATGTACCTGTCACCGTTCTTGATGCCATTGGCCGGGATCACAGGCTCCGGGCACGTCGTCAGTCCCACAGCTAAATGGGTCAGAGAAGGCATTAACACATGTTCTTAATACAGATTCAGCATATTACGTCACAGCTGTCATAAACAGGTAAAATTATAGTGTCAGGTATTCCTAATCATCTGAACGCATGTGCTCATTGTAATTTAATGCTGTCTTTCATCCACTCGATTTCAGTGAGTCAATTCGGGACCATAATAGACTGCGCGAGGGTGTTGCCATGGTGACGGCTGTGGTGTGGTGCATTCCTCGCACGACGGGTGGCATTGTGCTTTTGTGACAGTGGTGTGTGCTTTTTTCTGTATTTTTGCAAGAATCACTCATAGAGTGTACCTTTTTGATCAAGCTGTACTGCGGAAATACGTAAACAAACGAAAAAAGATGAAAAGAGAATATTGCTTTTGTGATTATGATAGTCACTACAATTCAATCAATAATACATTAAGGGAAAAACTATATCTGAAGGGAATCATTTTGCATTGTACACTGGAAAATAAATAAATAAATAAATAAAATATTGGGTCATCTTAAAAATACTCTCTCTTTTTTTTTGTCAAATTTAATAGCTTTTCTCAAATTATATTTTTGGCTTGGTTCAAACTTTTGATTTAATTTAGATTTAGATTTTTAAGATTAATCAATAATATTTATTTTTCCAAACACAAAAACATTCATACAAAGTAAAATGATTATTTATTATAAAGACACATGTACTTATTAAATATATTTTCTTTAGACATAAGCCAAATGCTACTTAATGCAAGTCAAAATCATAATTTTTCAATCATTTTTTTTTCTTAATTTTACCATGAACAAATCAGCTAAAATATGAAAGAGGAATGTTCATATTTTGTTAATCAAAGTTTAATTTCGTTTACCTACTATAAATGAATAGATGAATTTAAAAATGCATTTTAAATAAATTACACATTTTTATTTATTTTTCAGTGTAATGCTGCAGCAGAATTTCTCACATGTTTTACTGTGGGGTCTCTCAGAGGATGTATTATGAAACTGGGCAGGAAAAGGGTTTATGTTCTGAGAGCTGATCTAAAGATGACAGCTCAAAGCTGATGGCGATGCTGCATAATGAAGTGGTTTGCCAAGACCCTCTCTTTCTCACCACATTTCATCTTTATTCATAGCCCTCCAGTAAATCAGTCAACATGATACTCAAATTTTAAACAAAGCTAATGTTGCAACATATATTAATCTGAGTAGCATGCGATGCTCCTGAAATGAAAAGGCAAAGTCCCTCTTAGTGTTGGAGGGTTTTTTTAGTTTTTTTTTTAGTCCAGTTCCATTTCAGTAAATCAATTCGGTTCCAGTTATATTTGATGTTTCTGGGTTGAAGGCATAAGGAACAGCATTTATCTTACACTAACAACAAGAACATACTATTTTATATTATTCACATACACTGAAACAAGTTAAATGACTATGTCATTTATTTAAAGTGCATTTTTATACTGGTTTAACTGAAAATCATTGTTTGCAACTTAAACCTTTTTTGTTCAGTTTGCAGAGGTGTAAAATACTTGAGTAATTTTACTTGATTGCTGTGCTTAAGTGTTATTTTGGGGGATTTTTACTTTATTCAAGAACAATTTCAAGAACTTGTACTTTTACTTGATTACATTTTTGAAGAAAATAATGTACTTTTTACTCCATACAATTTTATTTTTAACTTGAGAAGTACTCATTTTTGCATTTTTATTTTATCGTACGCACATTAAATATGGTCAATGGAAGCTGGTGTGAGAAGCAATGAGTTTTGTTTTCATACATTATGCACACAAGTTTCAGCTTCAGTTATAACGTTCATCAGGTATATTTCTGGGTTCAAAAGTTTGCCATCAAATGTGTGGAAGCATATTAAGGTCGCTAAGTTTATTCATTATTTTGGTCTGTTTTGATATATAGCCATTAGCTGTCTATGGAGTATTTTGGCTGAACGCACAAGATTGAGTGCAAATAAATTCAGTGACAAGAATTTAAATACAATTCATGTTTTGGTGGGAATGATTGCTTTTTTTTTTATGTTACAAATCACTTGAAGTATTGTATGTTAAATTACTTGTAAATCACATTTAGTGATGTTCTTACCAGGGAGTGGATTGATCATTAGTCGCAAATAATTATATATTAATATTTGCTGAGAAAAAACTCTAAATGCCCCAAATAAACAATTAAAAGATGAATTGTTGCAGACAGAAGCACTGAATACATAACACAAAAAGTGTCAATATTGTATGTTTTAATTCAATGTCACTCCTCATTAAATCAACACATTATTGTATTCTGTTTGCATGTTTCTGGCTTTCACATCACACCTGGCTCATTAAAATCCACCCAAAAATGAAAATTCTCTCATCATTTCCTCACCCACCTGCCGTCTCATATGTATATGACTTTATTTTTTAGATTTTCAGTGTATATAATGCAAGTGTGTGGGACCGCTTTAATAAACACACAAAGTGAACACGACGGTAAAGTTTAAAATATTCATATGTGTATGCTTCTTTCACTCATCTATCGTTTCGCTTAAGACAGTTATTCACCAAATGGGGTCAAATGGATTAATGTTGTGTTCATCTATAGACGACCAATTATATGCAGAAAAAAAAGATTATTGTTTTCTTAATCTCTGAGTTTATGTTCATTTGAAGAAAGAAAGTCGCTCACACTTTATTTTAAATTCTCACTATGAACTAGTTCAGTGATCCTCAAATCTGGTTCGCGGGATCCACTTTCCTGCAGAGTTTAGCTCCAACCATAATCAAACAACTATACCTGTGATTCTCTAATGATCCGGAAGACATTGCTTAGCAAATATATATATATATTTTGTTAGTTTTGACTGCTTTTATTGTCCTCATTTGTAAGTCGCTTTGGATAAAAGCGTCTGCTAAATGACTAAATGTAACTGTAAACTAAGAAGAGTTTAGTACACTTTCAACACCCAACCTCACAGAACTCAATAACAGAGCTATTATACGCATCGCAACTTCAATAGAACAGGACTCCACACATCCACTTAATGAGTATTTAGCCCCACTGCCCTCAGGGCGCATGTACAGGGCTATGAGGTGCAGGAGGGCCCGTTTTGGAAGAAGCCTGATTCCTTCAGCCATCACATATCTCAACAACAGACATCGCTGAGGGCTGTCTTAGCTGTTTTTTTGTTTTTTTTTGTATTATGTGTGTTATGTTGTGTGTGTCAAACAAGTGCAGTGCTCTGGAAAATAATTTCCGATCACTGAACTACTTACTTATTAGCATGCATATTACTAACATATTGGCTGTTTATTAGTACTTATAAAGCACATATTAATGCCTCATTCTGCATGACCATATTTTAGATCCCATAATCCTACTCCATACCTAAACTTAACAACTACCTTACTAACTATTAAGAAACACCTAATTATACGTTTATTGAGGGAAAACTAATAGTGCATATGTGTTCCCTTTTATGCAGTTTATTTGTAAGCAATTTCCCTTTGCATTGAGAAGATGGTTCAATATGATGACACAAACATCTCTGTCTAAAAAGCATCTTTATATAAAAAGTTAAAGGGAACAATAGTATTTAGGCCTGGCAGCTTTATTTAATACAGAAATTATTGTGGGTTTTGTTAATTTGTCTTGTGTTTTTGTTTTTCTTCTGTTTAGTACATAGTTGACATGTAGTTGACATGTAGTTACAAAGTTACTTATAGTTAATAGAATGTCTAAAGTGGACTATCGAAATAAAGTGTAACCATATATATATATATATATATATTTTGTTAGTTTTGACTGCTTTTATTGTCCTCATTTGTAAGTCGCTTTGGATAAAAGCGTCTGCTAAATGACTAAATGTAACTGTAAACTAAGAAGAGTTTAGTACACTTTCAACACCCAACCTCACAGAACTCAATAACAGAGCTATTATACGCATCGCAACTTCAATAGAACAGGACTCCACACATCCACTTAATGAGTATTTAGCCCCACTGCCCTCAGGGCGCATGTACAGGGCTATGAGGTGCAGGAGGGCCCGTTTTGGAAGAAGCCTGATTCCTTCAGCCATCACATATCTCAACAACAGACATCGCTGAGGGCTGTCTTAGCTGTTTTTTTGTTTTTTTTTGTATTATGTGTGTTATGTTGTGTGTGTCAAACAAGTGCAGTGCTCTGGAAAATAATTTCCCCCTTGGAGATAATAAAGTTAAAGTTAAAAAAAAAAGTTGCAAATGATGCATATTTTAAAAAGACATCAAGATTAAAAAAAAGTCTTTCAAAATGGTCTTTATTTATAGTTAGCAAACTCAAACATTGACTTAAGTGAAAATTGCACTTTCATATTATAGGTAATTTAACTTTTGTTTATGGGGAAATGCAGTTGTAAAAATACAGAAGATTATTACATTGACCTACCTTAAGTAACATTTTGGCTTATGTCTAAAGAAGATATATCAATTAATTATAGTCTTTATAATTATGAATAATAATGAATAATTGTTATACATTGTATGAATGTTTTTGTCTTTGGGAAATTAAGTACTTTTGATTAATATTAAATCAAAATGTAAGGTTTGAACCAAAACCATAAACACAATTTAAGAAAAGCTAATATATTTGGCTGATACATTTTCAGTGTATTTACAAAACACAATTAATTTGATTATATAGTCAAATCGATTCATGTCTCATCAAGTGTTTACAGTAACCACAATAATAAAGCAACAAGCATATTTAGTGTATTTTATTATGTTACTACTAATTGTTGTTTGACTTTTATTATCACTTTTTCAGACTAGTCAATATATTCCTCAAAAAACATTACAAGTGTCATTATTAGAGGTGTGCTTTAATTTATCTGAGAGGTCACTAAAAAAATCAGGTCACTCACAGAATATCTGTTCAAGTCACATTGGTGATGATGTGATTGAGTTGTTAACAGTGCAATTAGTTCACTTCCCAACCAGTTTGACTCGATCAGGCTGATTCACAAACTGGTTTCCAACATGAAATTCTAGAGTCATCAGCCAATTACAGCACAATGGAGGTCCTGCTTGTTCTGTTGTGCTGTTACACCAACACACACATTCACAACATGCTTCCAGAGCTCGATGAGAACATTATGACTTTGAGGGATAAAATCAGCTGCTGACGCTGTTGGACAGTGTTACTTAAAACGGCTCATTTTCACATTGTTTGATGCATATTTCTTTTGCCTCATTTCTGTACAGTTATTTTCTCATCTGTTTTTCTGCTTTTCCTCCAGAGAGAAAATGCCCCTGATTAATCCACTAGAACACATACAGTAAAAAAGCCAGAGCACAAGAAGCGAAAGAGCGATAAAGATAGTCATAGAAAGAAAAAGAAGAGGGGAGCTGATCTAAACTCAGCCCACACTGTTTTTTTTCACTTCCAAAAACGGTATACTACCGTAAAATTAATATCCAATACATGTAATATCCAATAGAGTTTTTCACCGTATATAGTAGGGGAATTTACCGTTAACCATTTAACAGGTTTTTACTGTAGCATTTTTACAGTCTTTTACCGTTAAATTCACGGTCATTTTTTACAGTGCAGGGTCAAAATGCCCCTAACTCATAGAGCTCCACATAGAGCTCCACATTGCACTTATCTGTGTTTACTGACCAGAGAGATGCAGATAAGTCATTCAATACATTTACTGAAACTGCTTCCGCTGTATCAGAGCAGTTACTGTGCTGAATGCTGTTTTTGATGGAGTTTAATTAGTTCGGCTTTACAAAGTCAACATACTGTTATGTAAAACTTTTTATGAGATCAAAATGGTCAACTGCAATTTCAAGCTCTTTCAGATTATCAAACTTTCCATCTACCTATCTACGTGACTAGTAACACATAACAGTACTGCAGCCAACCCTTTCACAGATGAGAGAAAGAAAAATGGATAAATTGGGCTGTCCCCCTGAGAACACAGCCCTCGCAAACAGACAAATGGGACAGAAAGTGAATTGGTATGGTGGTTTATATGAGGCTTGGTCTGAGCACACTAAAGGTCACAGTCTGAAAGGCTTGCAAATACACACACACACACACAGGTTTGTTTTTGTGAAAAGTGGGGACATCCCATAGGCGTAATGGTTTTTATACTGTACAAACTGTATGTGCTATTGCCCTACACCAACCCAACCCCTAAACCTACCCCTCACAGGAAACTTTGTGCTATTTCAGATTTTCAATACACTCCATTCTGTGTGATTTATATGCGTTTTGAAAAGTGGGGACCTGGGGTAATGTCCTGAAAAGTCACCTTCTCCTTGTAATACCTATGTCATTGTACAAATTTATGTCCTCATTTGTCACAGAAAAACGCGCACACACACACTCAAACTTAATGTTGTTAGAGATATACTGGCAGTACTGGAAGTCAGGGTTAATTCAGACCATGTCTGAAGGGACATTAAGTCCCTTATATATATTTTTTTTTTTTTTAACCATGTAAGGTTGAGCTGCATCCCCATTGTTTTCCAATTTTCTTCGTGCTGGTATCACCATACACAGACGCCGCGGCCGAGCAAATAATGAGAGCTGGGGCATGCTGTCTTCTACCTTCACCTGGCAGCAGAACGGTGAGAGGAGAAAAAATACAGCTCAGTGTGTGTGCATGTGTGTGTGCATGTGTGTCCGTGTCCCCGCCGTGTGTGTTTGGCAGTGAAATGTAGCGGCAAGTCTTGCTCTGGACTGTTACCAAGGGCAGAGGGTTCAGGATAATGAAAGCACCATAGTGACATGTTCTATACTCACTTTTGTACTCAAGGTGAAATCCAGCAGCGACGACACTGATATCTGTATGGAAGTGCAGGTAAAGCTGGTTGGAGGTGCTGTTCAACAAGGCTGGAGCCGTTGTACCTGGAAGATAACACCAGAAAGGGGCCTGAGCAGGAAATCGCTATCCTTCTGAGCTCTCAGGGGGGAACTTTCATCACAGCTCAGAGGGAAGAGTCACTTATCATCAGACTAAAAAGCAAAACAGCTAATGCTACTCTGGATTCAAAGAAGAGGATTTTCCTTCTGCTTATACATGTATGGACATACCTAATATAGAGTGTGACATCTTTAATATGTGGAGAAAATGTCATGAATACTACATAACATCCTTAAAGTCAACATGAAACAGTGCAGCAGTGCACTGAGACATTTCTAAGTGAAATGGGCGAGAAAAACTGTTGGACTTAATTTTATCTTTCTGGAATTGGTTGGATTGAAGAATGTGCATTATGTACCAGAATAGATTCAAGCAATTGGAGGGGTGGATCAAGGGGTGAACCGATTAATTGTTCACTGTAAAAAAATTATAATAAAATAAAATAATAATCCAAATACAAAACACCATCATGGTAACATGCATGGAACTAAAATGATGCAATAAACATTAATTAAATAACATAATATGTATGTATAACATACACAGTATGTATAACATAAACACATACCTGAAAACAAAAAAAACTTCTAAGAAACAAAATTACTTAAACGAAATACCATCAAGCGTGAAGTGTCACCTAGGGAACTCTATGAATGTCAGATAACAGTTTTTAACTTTATATTTTAAGTTGACTGTGCATGTCTTTTTATTTATTTATTTATTTTAGATTTCATGTTGACTTTAATATGTAACGTAATAGGGGTTATTTTCATCATATTTTTGACCCTTTGCCTTTTTTTTTTTACATTTATCATTTTAGAATATGTTTCTTTGCACCAAAATTGGTGTAACTAACTATTTTCTACCCTTTCTCTAACATACAGGATTCAACAGACTGTATCATTAAGACATTCCTGCCAAGTTGCTGAAAAAAAAAAAAATATTTGATTTTAATAATGTATTAACGCTTTAGAAGTTTTTTTTTTCATTGTTAGTTCATGTTAACTATTTGATTAATGTTAACAACTGGAATCTTATTGCAAAGTGGTACCATCTTATGGCAACATTACAGGCTGCACATGTAAATCAATGCATTTGAAGAATGTGATTTATGATGGACGACTGTCTCTCACAATACATGAAGTTGAGCTCTGGCACAAAAAATAACATTTCTGCAAGGCATCACATCAGAATCTCAGGTTCCTGCAGGTTTCCCAGTTTCTTTTCTCCTTTAAGCTTATTTGCTTTTACCCATATTATTTTTATCTCCCTGTGGGAATGAAGGCACAATTCAAATACTGTGTAAAAGTAAATAAGGTTGGAGTAAACAAGATTGTAAAAAGAATCAACAAATACTGTTTATGGTATTCAGTGCCTTAGTACGCCGCCGCATAGTGACTCACGATGAATGCTTAAATACACCCACATAGCCATGGCATGTGCTTAGAGAACCGTTTAGTTTGAGAAGAACTATCTCTTTCAAACTCACATCTGTAGCATTTATTCATACATGGCTTGTTTATATCTTTACACAAATGCCCACAATGGTATCATGCAGTTACCAGAAAAATGTTTCGCATTTAAAACATCCTGCCGGTCTGACTGCTAATATTCCAGTCGATCCAAGTCCAAGAACATTAGACTGATGACCAAAGCCTGAAAAAAGCTCCTTTGCGCTTGAATGATTTGACTAATAATTTTTGGAGGACGTTTGACAGCTCCCTAGAGCTCATCCAGTGTCCAGCTATTCAGCGGTCTATCATCTCTATTAGGGACAAGGCAATCTGGAGAAGATCTTAAAATGCTCAGATGAGACTCGGATGAGCTTAAATGGACTTTTCCAGACAGAATATGGTACAATTACAGTAGGGAATCACATTGGATGCCAAATAGGACAAGGAGTGATGCATCCTCACAGATTAGGGGGATTTGAGAAGAAGGATTCTTTGTAAAATACATTCCCACGATTGGAAAAACACTACAGACCGATATTCCTTCTAAGCTGAGCACTGATGTTGCTCCCGCACAGATGGAAAAAAAATCGCAAGCAGAAGGCAGACTCAGAAATGTGTGGGGTAAAAGAGAGATGAACAGGCAGAGTTTGAACTGAAATCCAACCACATGTCCATTTATTTTCACTATGCAACTGAAGCTGTGGGAGGTATTGTGTGGAACTGTGAAGCGCTGATTAATTTGCGACATGAGCAGCACAACAGTACAAAAACTACAAAAAACAAACAAAAAAAAAGCTTCCATGGAATAATCTAAAACTATACATATTTATACAGAAATGTGCGTAAATGTAGCATTCATATTACTAATAATAATAATTATTATTTTGATTATATACAATACCAGTCAAATGTTTGGAATAATTAATATTTTTATGTTTGTTTTAAAGAGTCTCTAATGCTCACCGAGGCTACATTTATTTATTCAGCAATACAGTAAAAGCAGCAATGTTGTGAAATGTTATTACAATATAAAATAACTATTTTCTATTTTAATATATTTTAAAATGCAATTTATTCGTGTGATGCAAAGATCTTTTTTTTTCAGCAGCCATTACTTCGGTCTTGAGTGTCATATGATCCTTCAGAAATAATTTCAATATGCTGATTTGGTGCTAAATTATTATCAATTATTATTGGTGCTCGTTTATTATTAAAGTTCTTATCATTATCAATGTTGAAAACAGTTTTTGCTGCTTAATATTTTTGTGTAAACGGTGATACTTAACATTATTTGAGTCTGTATATAGTCTTTACTGTCACTTTTCATCAGTTTTATGCATCCTTGCTAAATAAAAGTATTAGTTTTCTTTTTTTCTTCTTTCTATTTTCTTCTTTACTTTTTGAATGGTAGTGGATCATGGGGTCCCACTTTATATTAAAGTGCCCCTATTATGCCATTTTTAAGGTTGCTAATATTGTTTTATGAGTCTCCATGCATGCAAGGTCAAAAAACACTTAGTTTTCTCAAAAAATAGATAAAATTTTACCTAATTTCTAAATTATTCGTAAACGACTCGTGCGAAGCAGTTCAAAGAATCAGTCTCTCTAAACCCCTACTTTCCGTGAGCCCTCACTGCTGTGATTGGTCAGATGGCACAGTCCTTTGTGATTGGTCCAGAGCCGTAGAGAGATGGCTCTGGATTGGTCTACCGCGTACAGCACGTGTCGGAAACAAATCGTGACGTAGAGTCGTAACAGAATAAGATTTGAATTCCTGACGATTCGTTTAGACGATTGCGAGCCAACTCTTTTTTTGATAGACAATAACTTTATTATTGTGCACTGTCGGCTTCACAACTTCATGACAATACAGCTACATGACACACTGCATGAAAGGTAATATTCAAAAAGGCATAATAGGGGCACTTTAAGTGGCCTTAACTACTATGTACTTACATTTAAATTAATAATTTGGTACAATGCACTTTGTACAATGCTACATGTTTTTACATTGTACTTATATTTGAAAAAAAAACTAATATCTGCATGTAATTACATCTGTAATTAATTTCTGTAATTACATTTATAATTACACTGTTGACCCATCCCTTACACCTTAACCCACCCTTAAACCTACCCATACCACCAAACCTGTCCCTAACCTTACCCATATCCCACCTCAATAGCAGAAAAAGTGTTTTGCAATACAATATGAACACAATAAATACACTGTACTTATTTTTTATGTAAGTACATAGTAGTTAAGGCCACTTAATATAAAGTGGGACCAATCATAGTTTCCACAAAAACATTAAGCACCAGAAAATGGTGTTCAAAAAACTGTTATTTTAAATTGCAATAATATGTTACAATATTCCTGCTATAACTGTGTTTTTGTTTAATAAATGCCGCCTTGGTGAGAATAAGATACTTTTTTTTTTCAAAAACATTACAGTATCTTATTAGTCTATGCTTATATGATCCCAGCTCCTTTCAGTCTCTTCAGCAGAACCATATATACATATATAAAAGAAGCTGATTTTTGTCAAATAAGTGAAGTGACATGTGGCCAAGTATGGTGACCCATACTCGGAATTAGTGCTCTGCATTTATCCCATTCAAAGTGCACACACACAGCAGTGAACACACACACACCGTGAACACACACCCGGAGCAGTGGGCAGACATTTTTTTTGCTGTAGCGCCCGGGGAGCAGTTGGGGGTTCGGTGCCTTGTTCAAGGGCACCTCAGTCGTGGTATTGAAGGTGGGAGAGAACGCTGTACATTCACTCCCCCCACCTACAATCCCTGCCAGTACGAGACTCGAACCCACAACCTTTGGGTTACGAGTCCGACTCTCTAACCATTAGGCCACGACTTCCCTCTGTTGGGGAAATAGTGATTATAGTCTGATCTCGACCACTTTTCATCTTCAGATTCATAACGTGCAGTCAGAATTAGGTAAATAATGACAGTGATATATTTTAAAGACACACACACACACACACACACAATGCATGCAGTTGTAATTAAATTGGTATTTGTTGAGCAATAATTAATCCCCAATTATGAAAAGTGTGGAGAGACAGAAACACAAAACATATCTGACAGTTTAATTAAGGGTATTATCCTAATGGATTTGTGACTAGAGGAAGAATGAAACGACCGATTGTGATGGGCGAGTGTGCGGGGGATATAAAAGGCTGACGCGCAGGCGACAGGAGAGCGAAGAGTGCATTTTAATGGGCAGCCAAACACGATGCCTAATGACACTGGCTCCTGATTCCCTGCCATGTCTTACCAATGCTCACAAATGACTCCGGGCTTGTATCATTTGGACCATTGAGATCTAAATGAGGGGAAATTGCCGTTTTATCATCAAATTCAATCATAGACTGGCATCAGGTGTCTCGGGAGACCGGGTGAAGATGGTTTAGCATTTAAAGAGCTTCTCGGCTTTCGAGAATATGGCTTGGGGAAGGTGAGGAGTGCTAGACAGTGTGAAGTGCCACTGAACACATGCCTTAGAGCAGACGGAGCTCCCTGGTTGGATGACCTTTCACCAGCATGCTAGTGTGGCACAGAGGCGGAGTTCATTACAGCCGTGTTGAAAGTGTAGCTAGAGGCCTGGCCACGATTCAGTCTACTGGGAGAGTTCCCAAAAAGGTTAAGCCTCCTCTCTCAAAGGAAGATCTTGCCCCCTCTTCCTAATCCTTCTGTGAGACTTTTTAAAAAATGCATTTTGTGATGTGTTTTTTTCCCCCTTTTTTAACAGCTTTATCTAATATGTCTGTATTTGGTTTGTTTGCTCTGTTTAACCCTCATTATATGCTTTGTATATTTTAATATACACTTGTTAAAACTGTTTTGGGTAGCTGTTTAGCTGTTTTCTATCTTTTTTAAATCAATATCATGTTTTTAGGTTAACAGTTATATGAATGTTTAAGAGAAATCTTAGGCCATGTTACTGGCCACTCTTACAGTTTTCACTATTTTTAATCATAATTTTTTCTCTTCAAAAGTTAATTTTAAATTTAAATTTTTACATATGCAGCCTCTCAATTATATTAAATAAATATGGCATCATAAATATCAACTTTTCAAAAGTATTACAATGCAACTATTAATTACTAAAAAAAAAATAATACAAAGCTAAACTGTACACATTAAAATGCAAGTGGTAATGGTGGCCTTTATAATACTCATAAACATTCAATCTTTCAATTTCAAACATTCAGCTTTTTGGTCCAGAACAGTGTGATAATGAATTGGGATGGAATAAATGTGGCTAGTGGTTTTCCAACTGGAACCCAAAAAAGGGTGTAATAATTGATGCTGTTAATCAACCAAATGTAACATGAGAGCATTCATCTGTTATGTAAGGGAAGGCACATGGACAGCCTTCCAGGGCTGAAGCTAATTTCAGCACTTCCAAGAATCCAGGGGCATAAAACCAGTGGCAGGGATTGGCTCAGTTTTATTGCAATATGAAACTGTAATGAGCTATGAAGAACTACATGATATGCAAATGAGCTTTAGGAGAACTTCTGTAAATCAGATGCAGAATCACTCCAAAAGACTGTTATTGAAATAAGCAATTAAAAGGGGATTAATAAAGATAATACGAACCTGAAAAGCTCCCGAGCTTTGGAGCTGTCATATCGCCACCATCATAGATTTCTAATGAGTCCCAGTTGTGCTCGGTGGCAAAACTCATGACTTGGATCTGCCCAGAAAATGGAGATAGACATCATGAAATTACAAAATTCTGCACAATGAACGTGAATTCACATAATGGCCATATGCTATACTTTTTCAGCATTGCTTAAAATCGTAGTCAAGTTTTCTTTAACCAAAAACAGTAATTTTGTTTTATGTAACAATTCTCCACCCCCTCTCTGAACCTAAAGAGGCTGTTTGTGCTACTGTAGCTTAAAGGCAGGGTAGGTGAAATTTTTTGTTATGCTGGTTGACAGTCTCTTCACATCCCAATAGCAATCACTAAGTTATATGGTCTAAATGTATTTATTTGTATTTATATTGTCTGTGGAAGGGCTAGGACCATAAACTGTTCGTCCAATCATATCCTTCGGGCCAAGGGCTACGATACGTAATCTGTCTGTTCCATTACGTTATTGCAGACCGAGTAAGAATGGAAGGCGTTATTATTGTAACATTACGCACTTTGTATTGTAATGTTTTCTCGCCGGTGTAACGAATCAGCTCATGAGGAAATATGAATAATTAAAATGTATCTGGTGTCAGCGTTGCTATGGAACCAGGGGCCTGTTCGGCTTCCTGGGGTGTTACAGAGTATTTGTTAAATCTAGCTAACAAAATATATATTGTGTGTTTGAGTGGTCCAGACGCTACACCGGTTAATGAGACACGAGGTAATCTGACAGTCTTGCATTCGACCATCCACCAACGCCAACTTTCTATAGTATCAGTAGTTCAGAGCACCACCTCAAATGCTGAAATGGCTGTTTCTGTGACTGTCCAAAGCATGTGATTATGAGGTATGCGATTGGGTGTCTGTTGCCAAGCATCTAACATTCTAACATCGTACTGTTTCGAACTGTACAGATTTGGAACCGTAATGTGGGAATAACAGTGAAATTTATTTAGATTTATTTTATATATTTTTTAAATGTTTACTTGGATATTTCATACAGCTGTCAGATTACCTGAAAATTTTCAAGCACTGTCAATCTGTCTTAGTTCTACATTTTATTACTGACTGTTAACTTGCTTTAAATAAGGAGATTTTGAAGCTGTTTATTCAGTGGAGAAATACTAGGCTACATTGCACTGCTTTAATTTCACTGCATTTAATTATTTTTAATTAACTGTTAATATTTAGTTAATATTTTCATTTTAACATATTGAAATACCACAGCAGCCAGGAATTTTAAAAATGATTGGTATTGAATGCATTTAATAAAAATGCAACCCAGGCTCATTGGAAATAAGAACTTGGGGCAACATTTCTGCAACAGCATTATTACTCCGTTTCGCAGCAGTTTCAAAGTGAAATTTGTGAGTGAGTGGCGCTAAAATGCCCGTGACAATACGTTCAATACGTGTTCAATACGTGACCGTGGCCACATTTGTATTATGTTGGTACAGGCATGTATTGCTGCGTTTTTATTATGTTGATTCAGGTATGTATTGTGGTGGTTCAGAATTGAAATGATGTTGGAAAATTACATACCTCATCAAAACCCAAACCTAAACCTACCCGATAGTGTTAACGAATGCAAAAGTGATATGAAAATGCATTCGCTGATGCAACCATGCTAGTTTAACTTCCTTATACGGGGGTTTGAGCTGTTTTGTCGAACTGTAGCTCCACAGGATTCGTACCGGAGCTCTTCACCTCACAAGTGCAACGTCGTATCACGTGAGATACCGAGCAAACCTACTAGATTAGAAAACCCATTCATATTATTATTATTGATATTACTGTTGCCGTCATCACAAGGTATTATTAGCATCACCATCTTTATTATTATTATTATTATTATTATTATTACTATTATGCATGCTAGTACTACTTGAATACTACTACTATTATTGTCAGATGGTCATCACTGTTTATTTTCATTGCTGTTATTATCATTGCTGTTCTATTGCTGTTTTTGTGTTTTGTGTTCACCGTATGTTGTATGTTTTGCACTCTTAATATAAAAAAAAAAAAAAAACATACATAGGAAGCTATATATGTGATGCTAACATTCAAAAGCAGGGGCGCCACTAGCAATTTTGGGCCCTATGAAAGAAAATGAGGTTGGCCCCCACCGCACCAAACATACAAGACAACCTAGTTATCCAAAATCTTTGTCTGCAATTTACTAATACTGACCTATTACTTTTGCTATTGCTTTTGACCACCAGGTATCAGTATTTAGTCAGAGACCTACCCATAGACGCGGGAACATATTTTATCTGGGAGTGCTGGGGGGCATAAATGAATAAAATCCTCATATTAAACAGCCCAAACACTTATAGATGAACATACAAATTAATGAAGACAGAGTTATATGAGAACAAATATATTTGTGATTTTGTGATTTTAGCTCAATAATATTTTTTTCTTTAATATTTGTATTATTTTAAGGGAATTTTACTAAATAGTAACCTTTAAATTATGCATTTATCATCTGCAATATCAGGGTGTAGCCTCTAGATGTCAGTATAGCCCTATATATAAATACATATAAACCGTTTGATGCAGAGTGAGAACTTAAGACATAAAGCCCGTTACTTGTATCAGGTTATTCACTGATATATTTTCAGACATTATTAAAGACTACATTTAGTAAAAGTTGAAATTTAAATGTTGATTTGAAGTGTCAGTTATTATTATTGCAGTCAAATCTGGACAGAGAAAGCATTTTGTTAGGCTACTCATACTAGTTACAGCGTGATCAGTCAAAGTCATCAGAATAAATATTGGCTCAGTGTGACCAGGACAATATTTTAAAACATAGAATTGAGTGTTTACATACCATGAACAGAGACGTTCTGTGGTCGAGATGTGTATCCTATTTGAAAAAAATCTGCATTGCAATCAGCAACTAAATTGAGATTCCAGTAACTTTACTGGCATGGAAAAAAAGGCTTTATAAAGCATTGACAGCACTTCGAACCAATGGTGTTGAGCATTATCACATTTAGAGGCCACAATTCATAGTTTTCAGTCACGTGACTAAACATCCATAGAATTGCAGCACAAGCCTGTCAATTTTCCATTTCTTTCCAGTCTACAAATATTTAGATCTTTTGATGACCGGACTTACACTTCTTCGTCGAATTCGCAGACATCTCTAATTTGACAGTTTACCATCTGATCTCACGTAGGACGGGACGGAACCATGCAAT